ATATTTTTCATTGTCTGTGCATACACACACCCTTGTGTGTGCCCATACACAAACAGTTTATCACATGTACATGTGCTTAAATGATCTATTTATTAGCTTTACTTGTTTTACAACTTTTAAAGAAAGGTATAATGCTTTATGTTGTTCTTTTGGACTTGCTTTCATTGTTTATGGTACTTTCAGGTACCTTTATGTTAACAGGATTCTTCCATGTGGTTGTGTGTATAGCTGTAGTTCATTCATCTTCACATATGTGTCATGGTGTTTCATTAGGAGAACATACTGCACTTTATCTGTGATTTTCTCATTGTTGAAATATTCATGTTTTTACCTTTTCTCTGTGTTTTGTATTATTTTTTTGCTGTTTATTTTAACAACTGTAAAATTAAATAGCGAAACTTTCAATCAAAACATTGGAAAACAGGAGAATAGGAATATGGTCCTGAGAGATAAAAAAAACACACAAACAACAACAACCAAAAAACCTCACCATACATGACCCCTGGTTCTCTGCCTGGAGACAGTCTCCTGACCTCCGCCAGGCAGTTGGAACCCAGTAAAGCACAGTGGTCTTGCCGAGCTTGGGAAGCAGAGACTGGAATCATGGCTGTGGAACAGCTCACTTGCTGAGTGCTTACAGAGAGGAGAGGGCAACACAGAGAAGAGCACAGGACTTTGAGAGTGTTTCCCATCATCCGTTGGACTGTGCTTGTGCAACTCTGCAAGGCCTGGTACAGTGTCTCCAGTAAGTTTGAGGGAAATGTGGAGACACTACAGGTCACAGAGTTGGAAGATGCAGTCCAGACCAGTTAGAGGGGAGAGAACCTTTCCTAAGACTGGGCTTTAGACCTCCTTGAAGGAGGTATGGTTTCAGCCTACTGTATGGTGGAGAATTTCACTGGATTGTTGGACCAGAATTGGTTCATAGATTCCAGAGAGCAGAAAATAGCGCTCTAGGGCTCAGACGTAGCTCAGGCTGCTGAGCGGGAACTTGGAGTGAGTTGGTGTCAGGAGCACACTTGTGCTTGATGCACAGTGGGTGAAATATATATTGGTTTGGACACAGAAACAACCATCTGGGGCACATGTGAGCACAGGCTGGCAGCGTGCAGTGGGAGGCAGGGATCCCCTGCTGAGGCAAGGCTTGGAGTGGCCCTGTGTCCATGGGAGGAGGACTGCAGCAATCTGGTCACTGAGTTCAGACTAGGGCTTTGAGGTCTGTGAGAAGGATTGTGCAGCAAGCTGCTGGAACAGAGTGCCATCAGATGTTCCCTACACAGTCACGACTGACAGACCATGCAGTAGAAGCCAGAAAAGTAAAATGTAGTTTACCAGGACCAGGAGGAGAAGCAGCCTTCCTCCTGCAATGCTTCAGCTGATAAAAATTAGCATCATGCTCACTGTAAAGAAGAAATGCTTAAAATATTCAATCTCTCATCTCTGAGTGGGTACCAAGGAGTAAATTTGAAGTTGAGAGACAATTGTTTCATAACTGATACAAAAAACTAGACCAGACCCACCCAACAAGGTCTAAAGCCAAGCCACAAAAAGATAAGGAGAGATGTCACTCAGTTTCCTGCTTGCTAGAATTGACTGTCAATACTCCAGAGGAAAACAATGCAATTCAGATTCCTTAAATCATTTACTAGCCCATCATACAACAATAAATTACTGGAAAGAAGCAGGAAAATGTGACTTCTGATCTAGAATAAAAGCTGTCACTAAAAACATACAATGAGATGGCAGTAATGTTGGAATTACCAAGAGAATAGTATCTGAAGTGAAAGCATTTACTGGATGCCCTTAAATGTAGATTAGAATTGGCAGAAGAGGTCAATGAGCAAAAATCAGAAACTTATTTTAACAAAAGGAAAAAAATTGGGGAAAAGATGAGCAGAGCCTGAGTGATTTGGGAATATCATTAGATGTATAACATATGTCTGGTTGAAATTCTGAAAGGCAGGGAGTGCGGGAAAGAAGGAGAATATGTGACAGAAAAAGTTTTGAAAAAATAATGGTTGAAATTGGTTAAAAAAAAAAAAAAAACCTACACATTTAAGAAGCATAATGAATCTCAGGATGAATCCAAAGGGGGAAAAAATAAAATATGCATATATAATTATTCAGCTGAAAATTATTTGTAAAGAGAAAAGGAGATAGGGGTGGGAGAGGGAACATTTCATCCATAGGAGCAATAGGATGATGGCTGACTTCTCAGTAAGAAACAGAAGTGGAGTAATGTCTTAACCCATTAAGTCCCAAGTTTCCAATTCTGCAAACACAGCACAAATATTCAAAGTTACCATAATATATTTATTGCTCAATTTAAGTGTTGTTTTTTTTTTTAGGATTGAGTCCAGGGGTGCTATCCCACTGAGCTATAACCCCAGTCTTTTTAGAATTTTTAAATTTTGAGAAAGGGTCTTGGTAAGTTGCTGAGGCTGGCCTCCAACTTGTGATCTTCCTGCCTCAGCCTTCTTAATCACTGGGGTCACAGGTGTGCCTGGTTTCAAAAAAATTTTTGTTGTTTTTAAAATATTTATTTATTTTATTAGAGTTTCTGGTTATACATAGTAGTTCAATTTGTTTTTCTGTGTGTTCCAATAGGACAAAATTGGTTAAAGAAAAATTTAAAGAAGAAAAAGGGGTGAAGTAAAAAAAAAAAAACCTTTTAATCTATATTCAAGCAAAAATATCATTAAAAAGTAAAGGTGAAGTAAAGACATTTTCAGATAAATGAAATTTAGGGAAGAAAAAAGTTTCCAGAAACCTTCAGCAGAACCCTTTATGTGCTCAGATGCTCTTGGTGAGTGGCTAGGAAGGCTGTGAGAGCAAAGACCTGGCATTTTCATCCTTTCCAGAGTAAGGAAGCTTCTGCCATTGAGGAATAGGAAGATTAGGGAGATGATGAGAGTTACTTGCAGAGACAAACAGCATGGTTTGCCACATATGATTTAAATTACTTTTGTAATCAGAAAATAATAGTATTTGTTAGTTGGCTCATAGATACAAGCAGAAAATAAATCGTTTGTTGTTGATTGACCATTTACAGACTCTTACAGGGCTTTCTAGAAAACCTTTAGAAATTACCTTGTATTCCTTCAGACACCATGCTGACTTCTGGGCATCACAAGGTAATACCTCCTGACCTAAGTCTGCCAGGGAGATAAACAGGCAGCTTCCTGGTTTCCAGCCCCCTCTTCTAGGCAGCATGTCACCTAGGATAGCCTGACTCCAAAGTCTGCATTCCTAACTGGAAATCTCTGTAGCTCGCTTGCTTTGCATCCTCTTGGTTAAAGGTTATTAATTTCTCAGGTTATAAGTTAACTCAACAATAGGCCTTCTATTTATTCATGTTGGTTACAATTTTTGAAGTAGTTCTCCTTGGAAAACCATTCACTAAAATGTAAATTGAAGTTAGTCGCCTGTAGGAGAATGTTGATACCCTGTTTGTTCTACTCACATTTAATTTACTCATATAACCTATAGAAGTCTAAGAGGTGAGTTGATTTTTCTGATAATTTTTATAAAATTCAATTAGAACTAGCTGCTGCCCACAGTATGGAGTGTACTAATCCCATAGTAAGGTGCTTAATTTGTGGGGGATGGGAGCTCTCTAGTTTTCTCTCTCGTTTTAAAACTACAAAAGGGTTTGGATTAAATGATTTGAACTTCTTAACATTAAAATTAAGTCAAGACATTCTCATTTTATCAATATTTTGGTGTTTGAGAGATATTTAATGAACAAATCAAGTTCATTTAACTCAGTAGAAGCAGCTTCTGATATTCATGAGGTAGAAAATATTTTCCATTGAGTTGCAGAGTAATTAATTGATCCTAAAAGTCTGCCTGATCCCTAGGTAAAATTTCTGAGTCTGAATTAGTAGAGGCCATTGGTGTGTCTTCTGTGTGGGAGCAAAGGGGAATGACTAGAATTTTTATGAAGAGCTGGACTCGAGGGTGAATGGAAGAAGGTGTAGCATGCACCTGTGTGTGGAGACCAAGTCTGTTAGCATCATGTTTACCATCTTGTTCATACAGAACTAGCACAGCTCAATGCAAGTCATACCAGTGCTCAAGTAGAACAAGATTCAGTTACAGGAGCTTGGGGTTCTCTCTGTTCAGCTGTCAAATGGGGAAAGAGAACCACGGTAGTGCTGTGGGGCCTTTATGGGCCACATTTAGAGGTACTACATATGACTTTGGCTCTGTTCTTTGGCCAGAACTCAGCCATATGGCCACACTGCCAGGGAGGATGGGGGTGGTATAACTGTGTATTCACAAAGAAGGATGCAGCACGGTACATAGAAACACAAGTACTGAAAAATAAGGGACAGAAAGTCAAGGTAATTATTGACTAGGAAGAGCAAGCAGTTGTATAAGGAGGGGAAAAATAAAGCTGATAATGGCTAACATTTATTGTATTCTTACTGTGTACCATTTACGACTCCAAGCCCTCATGTTTCATTTTCTTCCTCTAAAATTTTATGAGATAAATACCATTATCATTTCCATTTTACAAGTAATTTTACCAAAAATATTGATGTCACTGGGGTAAATGGAATGGAAAATGAAGAGAGTAGAATAAGAACAAAACAGCATCTTTCGTAGTAGGAAATCTAAATGATGTGAAAATAATGTCTCTATTATGTAGTATGTGACAGAGTCTAGACAAAGTAGCAGAAGTATGTACCAGTAGAGATGTCACAAAAAGTCAAAGGGCTGGGGGTGCAGCTCAGTGGTAGAGAACTTGCTTTGCTTAGCATCTATAAGGCCCTGGGTTCCATCCGCAGCACTACAGAAAATAGGAGGTTACCCCCAAAAAGCTGAAACCCTTCAGTATGACCAACTGGGAATTCAGTTAAGGGATTGCCCTTATATACTGCACTTCTAAAACTTTGCTTAAAAAAATGCAAATACCTGTATTTATTATCCATTTACTACTTTTCAGTACTTGGTCATAAAAGTATAGATATGTAATATGCAAACTTTTATTCTAGGTGCAGTGGCATTGCCGAGCAAGGATGGTGGCAGGAGCCAATTTTTACATTGTTGGACGAGATCCCGCTGGCATGCCTCATCCAGAAACAGGGAGGGATCTTTATGAACCAACCCATGGTGCCAAAGTGCTGACAATGGCCCCTGGCCTAATCACCTTGGAAATAGTTCCCTTCCGAGTTGCAGCTTACAACAAGAAGAAGAAGCGCATGGACTACTATGATTCTGAACAGTAAGTTTTGCATTCTCTGCACAAATCTGTGTAGCCCTTTGCAGTCCAAGCTGCTCCCAGGGCTTTAGAGTGTTACTTCATCTTTACAACTGTTCTGATGACTGGCTTTGTTGCACCCACTCAGAATAAGGCAACTCATCTTTCATTTAAAAGTTAGAAGTAGAAATAAAAATTGAATCTGTTTTATTGTTCATGGTTTCAGGAATTTTGAGTTGAAAGGCAAAATTGAGAGTTCTGTGTCTACCATGTCTGCTACCAAATGTTAGTACAAATTATTGCTGGTATTGAGCACATATGTATCTCCCTTTGACTGACAAAGTTATGGTAATTTCTGTCTATAGGTAATTTCTATAGGTGGTGCGAGCTGTGCGTTCAAAGTGGCACTGTGAAGCTGAAGAATCAGAAGTTATAGATTCTAGCCCTGTCTTTGCTATGTGATCTAATTAGTCCTAAGTTTTAATGGTTTTTTTTACCCTTATTTTCTAATCTCTGGAATGATGGCAGTGGACAAGGCAGTTTCCCCCTATATCAAAATCTGTAACTTTTTCTATGATTTGGAGTAACTAGTTATTTTTATATTTCAGTAGGTGCTTATACATAAGACTTGTTTTGAGACTCATGTATAGTACACTTGCTTTTATAGTACAAATTATGATTAACACTCAGCAAGTAAAACAGATTCAGCAAGTAGAATACAGTTATTTGTTAGTTTACTTTTGATCAGTGTCAACTCTCTTGATAGGCACTACTGAAAATTGACTCTGTCTTGTCTTTTTTCTGTGGCACTTTACACTGGCCCCATATTCAGGAATGATGCTGACCCTGACATGTCCTCACTTGATGTGGCCCATTTTGTCACAGTGTGACAGGAAAGAAAAAGAAACCTTTTTAAAATTAAAACAACAGTTTTCATTGCCCTCTTCAACCTATAGGCTAAAAAGCTCCTGCCTTGAATTCTAGATTTAGGCCCTAAGGAATGGTTTCTAAAATAGATATACGTTTCTTTTTGGTTAATTTCTTTGAGGTAAAATAAGTTACCCAAATAAAGAAATATTATTGTTGCCATTGGAGATTGGAGAATTTGTTGATTTCTCATTTAATGACAAATAATTCTGAAGACAGTGCACATTTTAGATGACTTTCTGAGTGATAACTATAGCTAAAAATAAAAGAAAGTCTTATGAGAGTGAATGAACAGAAAAGGTTTTCATAACTGATGCAGGCAAGTGTTAAAGAACTCCTAACCATTTCTTAGTTGTGTACCCTGAACACTGTAACCCATATTCCAGCATAGTTCTGAACCACCAGAATTTGCAGCTAACCAGAACATTTTTATCCTTGTACAAAATCAGATTCCAAACATATAGGAATAAATAGTTTGACATCATGTGGGTTTTTGGTTTTTAGAAAAACCTTTAAAAATATATGCGTAGCGGGCCACAATGATGCAAGCCTGTAATTCCAGCTACTGAGGAGGCTGAGGCAGGAGAATTGCAAGTTGAAGACCAACCTGGGCAACTTGCAAAGACTGTCTCAAAATAAAATTTTTAAAAGGACTTGGGAACATAACTCAGTGGAAGAGTATGGGTAACGGCCAGCTTCTTGTTGGGGAATTTTCTTCCTGCCGAGGATGGTGTAAGGTCTAGGATAATTAGTGAAGAACAAATGACAGAGTCTGAAATATATTTTCAAAAGCAGAGGCCCTGATAAATCCAGTCCACATGGGAGCTGGAACTAGACAAAAGGAAGATGGCTCCAGTAGTTCATTTAAGGGAGTATATCAAAGGTGGGGATAAGCTTTCTAAGGCAGTCTTGCTTCCTGATGTCTTGCAATTATCAGGTTAATTAACATCTTGTCAGGTAACACCCATCTCAGGTGCTATGTGGGACATGACAGATTGGGACAGAAATTCACAATGTCTCTGGGCAATCGCACACAGAGGAAATGTCCACTGGTAGTTCCCAGACACCAGATGTTTCTATTCCCTAGGCTACGATACACGGTGGCTCACACACAGCATGGCTGGCTTGCGACAGAAGAGTGCCTTCCTAGCCTGTATGAGGTCCTGAGCTCATTCTCCAGTACTGCCCCACCCCAAAGTGTATATATGCATTCATGTATATTTATATACACATACTATAGTTTCACTAAAAATAATAGCCTTAAAAGTGTATGCTGAAGGTTATAAATTGACTTTTTCTACCAAGGGGATGCCTCTTTTGAAGCTTTAAAAGGAAGAATTACAAGAAAAATGAAAGCAATTATAGTAAACTTTGAACTGCATTGCCACGTAAGATTATTGAAACCTTAAAATATAAATTATAAAGGAGGATTAAAAGGTTTCAGGTCCTGTCCTTCCCTTTCATGGTTAACTTTATGTAGGCCACAATCAAAATTCTTATTTACTTAGTCCATGGGGAGGTCTACCCATTGGTAATTCTTTTAAAAGGCTCCCACCTAACCCCCAGAGGAAGGGCAGTAGCACCTTCCTATAGTCTATGATACACACAGTGTCAGAAATGGACTGCTGGGACAAAGTGTTTTTGGTATCTCACCCAACACACAGGTTATTTGTTTAGGTTGTGTACAAGTGGTTATGAATGTCAGCTTGTCAGTTGTGATTAACTGAATTAATTCACTCACATAGTGGCAAGGGAGAGCAAAGAAGAGAATCATACTGCCAGTGGCTAAAAATGTCAAACTTAGGAGCATTTCTGTTTTGTTGTGTTAAGAAAACAAAACTAACCTCAAAAAGAGTTGAGCTTTTCTTTCACACTTCTTGTGCCGTTATGTTTCATTTCTGTGGTCCCTTTGCATGGTCAGCTAATTTAATAACACGCAGGACCCTAGAATCCATCTGTATGTGGTTGACTGATGTGCTGGTAAGCCCTTGATAACTTTGATGTTTGGTTAAATCTGTGTAGTATTGTTTTAAGTATTTCTTTTAATCATTCAAAAAGCTAAATAATTACATCAGTTCTCATAAGATTTTCCAAAGATGAATTCTATATTAGTTGCATGAGTGGCTCATTTCCTTGGAATTTTTTTTTTTTTTTGGTTACTAAATCTTAATAAGTTGTAACTTGGGAAGCTTTAAAACTCCCTTCATTTTCTAACTTTTTGTATTTGTGTTCAAATATAATTAAGTTGATGGGAATATGTTGGAAAGTGATTAAAATTTTGTGGAAAGGCGATAGTCTTTGATGTAGTGAGAAAACACAGTTATTAATTATGCACATATGAAGTTGCCTTAAGTTTGATTAATGGTCATTACTCAATGCCAGCTTTTATGTAATTAATGATTTTGCAGCTTTTGATTTGATTAAATACCAGTGTAAGACAAGGCTTAGGAGAAAAAAAATTCATGAAGATTTCAGGCAAGATATTATTTATAGGAATTGTGATAAAAATCATGTGTTTATATTTAGAAAGTTAAGGAGGTTCATATTAGCTAAAATAGTCACTCAAGGAAATTTAGTTTTAGGACTGCAGTATTAAAGTCTGTTGCAGACATTACAAACATAGAAATCATTCACTTTTCTTATTTGTATTTTTTTTCCTCTTTTGAGAAAGTAAACATTTGTATTTGAATAGATAAGTGCAAATTTATTTATATGATTAAGTGCCCATGAATGAAAGTGTCTTGTGGAAAGGGAGGGATAAGTGGGTGTGAATGTTCATTGTCTGGTATGTTTATGTTTTCAAAAGAGTATTTCTTTCATATTTTGAATGCATGTCCTGTTAGTGTCATTTTAAAAAACACTCTACTTATGTGTGTCCTTCAGGGCATTTTTAGATCTTCCTTTCTTTTATTACTTTTCTAGGAGACTTTCTATGCCATGACTCTAAACATATAAGTCACTGTTTCCCAGTTGCTTATAGTACTAGTTTTCTATTGCTAAAGTAACACATTATCACTAACTTAGTGGCTTAAGACACTACCAGTTTATTCTCTTGCATTTCTTTAGCGCAGATGACTGGGTATGCTTGCCTGAGTTCTCTGGCTGCACTGGCCTCATATGATAGCTCTGAAAAGGATCTATTTCCATATTGGTCCTTGTTAGCAGAATTCAATTCTTTATAGCTCTGGGATTGATATCCCTATCCTCTTACTAGCTGTTGCCTGAGGATTGCTCCCTGTGTCTAGAGGTCAAGTTCGGTCCTTCCTTGTGGACCCCTCCATCTCAGTAGTAGAATCTCCCTCATTCGTGGAATCTGTCTCATGCTTCAGATTTCTCTGGCTTCTGTTTTGCTCCTAACTGAATTCTTTTTCTTTTTCTTTTTTCCATTTAAAGGTCTTAAGTGATAAGGTTAGGCCTACCAAATAATATTATTTTGGCCATGCAGCAAGGGATCATGGTAAACACTGGGGGCAAAGGTCATTGGGGCCATCTTTGAATTTTTCCTATCATAGGAGTGGATATTTCAGCATAGAGTTCTAGGTGTTATGTAAAATGCTCAGAACCAATACTACCTTTACTCTCATAATATTTCTGAATCCTGAATTTCTTTTAGTTATTGTTCTTCCTGTTACATAGAACTGTAAAGTCACTTTTCCTTTCAGCTCACTCTTTACCTCCAAGTCTGGCGTCGGTCATTGAAATACTTCTTGTGTGAATCCTTTTCTTTCCCTTTCCTGCCACAGTTTTTGTAATACACAGGTCTTTTAGAGCATAGAGGACTGTGTTTTCTGTTGATGCATAAAAGACTTTGGTTTTGTTAGTTGTACTGTTTCTTTTGTGGAAGTCTGATTGTTACTGCATGAGTTTACAGGTTTTATCCTTGTATTGTAGGTTTTGAACATATTTTATTATGGGAATTACCATTAAAAGATAAGACCTGATTTAAAATCTGTGATCTTCTATGTTTTAGCATACATTTATATCGTAACTAGGGATAGCATTACTATGTATATTTTTGAAAATCAGATGATTTATTTTTACCCTGTCTTACTTGGAATCAATAGATTATATTGAAATTGGTATAAAACACTGACTTT